GTGAGATGTGAGGCATAGAATGGTTGCACTGTATGGAACAGTATATTTGAGTGGTTTTCAGCAACATTGTCTGAGCACAGCATTATCAACTGTGGCGAACGGGAGCGTCTGCGATGCCGCCGCTGCTGCTCTCGCATTATGCGCCTCATTCGTAGTCAGTCGGTTGAAGCGGTAAGTGCGTTGTGTGTTTGCTGAGTGATTCTCCCGTCTCATATAAATTAGTTTTCACAATGTTGAGGACAATTTTTAAACTTGGGCAATTATTAAACTTGATCAAATCAAATATTGAGGAGAACCCACTACTATTGGATTTAGATTAGATGATTATGATTATGGAATGCTTCAAAGGTAATTGTTCTGAAAATTCATTGAAGTCCAGCGAAGAATTCCAAAAGAATTTTTCGATATTGAAATCTGGCCACGCCCTTGCGTCAATCTTTTGATGTAGGACTCTACCGCAGCTGCTCCGGGGGTGTGGGAGTGGCCATCGCTGCGAGACGGAACATCATTTGCCGGCTGCTACCAAGCTTCCAACTGAAAACAATCAAAGTCATCGGGGTTGAGGTGAGCACATCGCTTGGCCCAATCACCATCATCGCAACCTACTGCTCCAACCAAACCAACAACATAGACGGGTCTTCAGCGGCCCTCCGGCAAGACATCATCATAAATGGCAAACACACCATCCTGAACGAGGACCTGCAAGAGGGGCATTACACCATCTTGGCCTCGGACACTCCCACCCGGCTGTCTCGGTCTGGAGTTCATGCAACCATTGACATCTCCATCAACAACATGGACCACAACATCTCACAACCTGTGACCTACCAGGAGCTGAGCTCGGACTATAATTCGGTGGTGGCCGGACACGCCCGAAGACGTTGACCGGTGCCTGAGTTCTATAGAAGAGGCTATACCCCGAGGAACAACACGTGCCAGTTTCTAGACAGAAGAACAATACTTTGATCCTTCATAGACACACTAAAGACATTATAAAACTCCGTAACGCCTCGCGTAGGCAGTACCAACGCACTGGACTGACCATCTTGAAGACCCATTGCAATCGCTTAACAAAAAATATTCAAGTGGACCTGAGAAATGAGGACTTTAGTGGCAGGAAACTAACAAAATTCCTTAAAATAAGTCAAGGCCCATTCCACCACTTGTGCCGTTGAATCAAGCCAATGATTCAGCCACCCATCTGATAACCCATGAAGAAAAGGCTGATGCTATACGTCAACACTTTGTCAGCTCTTATAATCTCGAACTGAACATGGCTAGTCCATACTACGGTTGATGAAAATTCAGCCAACCTCCATCAAATTCCCAACAGTTTTCCTGTGAAAAACATGAAGGACCCAGGTTTCGACCAAATTCTGAATCTAAAGGGTGATACGGTCAAAATTTGGTCAATATCAACTTGACGTATTTCTTTCAATTTTGCATTTAAAAAACCTGAACACCCCTCATTTTGAAGGTGTGTGTGTGTAGAATGTTGCTCCTATTTTGATTTTGGAATTCACTCTTCAGTTGTCAAAATGCCGTCCAAGCAAGAAGAGCAGCGTATCAAAATTTTGCTCGCGCATCGCGAAAATCCGAGCTACTCGCACGCAAAGTTGGCAAAATCGCTAAAAGTTGCCAAATCAACCGTTACAAATGTAATTAAAGTGTTTGGGGAACGTTTGTCGACAGCCAGGAAGTCTGGATCGGGGGGAAATCGAAAACCGGAAGCCGCTGAGACAACAAAGAGAGTTGCCGGTAGTTTCAAGCGAAACCCTAACCTCTCTCTCCGAGATGCCGCAAATAAGCTGGGTGTATCGGCTACAACCGTGCATCGAGCCAAAAACAAGCCGGACTATCGACTTACAAGAAGGTAGTGACTCCAAATCGCGATGATAAACAAAATACGACGGCCAAAGCGCGATCCCGGAGGCTGTACACGACGATGCTGACGAAGTTTGACTGCGTGGTAATGGACGACGAAACCTACGTCAAAACCGACTACAAGCAGCTTCCGGGACAGGAGTTTTATACGGCAAAAGGAAGGGGAAAGTTACCCAAGTAACATTGCAAGTTTTATCGAGGTTTGAAAGTATTCTACAAGTCTAAATCATGGTCTTCAGAACCCTCATAAAACCCAAATTGTTACTTGGGTAGCAGATGTTTTCAAGCACATGAAACTGTCAAAGTTCGCAAAGAAATATCTGGTTTGGCAAGCCATCTGTACCTGTGGCTTGAAAAGCAGCATTTTCATAGCTTCCAGGACTGTCAACCAAGAAATTTACGTGAAAGAGTGTTTGAATAAACGTCTGCTGCCTTTCCTGAAGAAACACGGTTGTTCCGTACTGTTTTGGCCGGATTTGGCATCTTGCCATTACGGTAAAAAGGCCATGGAGTGGTACGCCGCCAACAACGTGCAGGTGGTTCCCAAGGACAAGAACTCTCCCAACACGCCAGAGCTCCGCCCAATTGAGAAATACTGGGCTATTGTCAAGCGGAACCTAAAGAAGACCAAAAAACTGCTAAGGGCGAGCAGCAGTTCAAGGCAAACTGGCTTTCTGCGGCGAAGAAGGTGGACAAGGTGGCTGTACGAAATCTGATGGCAGGGGTCAAGCTTAAGGCCCGGCAATTCGGATTTGAAAAAGCGGAAGCCTAACTGAATATTTTTCCTGAATTTTATACTAATTGAACTTGAAAAAGAAATTTAATTTGATTTTTTAAATAAACGATTTCACCGATTTACACGCGTTTTCCCTTGACCAAATTTTGACCGTATCACCCTTTAGAACTCAAACACTTGAGTTCCAGATTTTTCAACTAGCTTTCCCTTGTGCTGGAAGTCAACTAAAGTCATCCCCATCCGGAAGCCTGGGAAAGATCCCTCCTCTCCTTCAAGTTACCGACCCATCAGCCTTCTTTCGGGGTTATCTTTTCTGTTCGAACGGGTAGTCTACCACCCACTACTGGCATCTGCCGATGAAAACAACTTGTTGCTCGAGAAACAGTTTGGCTTCCGTAAAGGTCGCTCGACTGTTCACAGCTGACTCGAGTGAAAAACATTCTTAGACGGAACAAAGATATAGGGGAAATGTCGACTTCGGCAATACCTTAACCTATTATTGTCAGGGGGTAAACAAAGTCCTAGAGCACTCAAATTTGGCCACTAGTTGCTTTGAAACACAATGTATCCACATGCCAAAATTGAGCTCTCAAGGACGTTGTTTACCCCCTGAAGATAATAGGTTAAGGTATTGCCGGAGCCAACTTTTCCTCTATCTAAAACATCTGCCATGGCAGTGTTGGACGTTGAAAAAGCGTTCGACAATGTCTGGCAGCTCAAAGAAGTATCTCTTGGACAGATATTTCGAGTCTCTTTGAATGGCATCACATCGGATGCCTTCAACATCGGTGCGGGTATTCCACAAGGAAGTATGGTGGATCGTTCACACTTAATTTTTTTCGCCGAGATTCCAACAGCCGAGTAATTCTGCAATTTATTTTGCTGAGATTCAGTAAAACAATTGCCGAGACTCAGCTAACAAATAACATTTTGCTGAGATATCAGCTAACAAACAGATATTTTGCAGAGATTTCAGCAAAAGTGAATGCCGAAGTAATCGGCTGTTGGAGATTTTACCGAGCTAGATTAAGTGTGTTGTCCCTGTTCGCAGATGACACATACATCATCTATAAGGGTAGGGTCATCAGAGCTCTAACCGCCAAACTTCAAAGAGGACTGGATGTTCTGTCTGAGTATTTCTACAGCTGGAAGATCCGTATGAACGTGGTAAAGACCCAGGTCATCATCTTTCCTCATTACAAATCTCCCAGACTTGTTCCATCTGAGAATAATAAGAGCAACTTGAACGGCACAGTGGTGGGATGGTCCAAAGAGGTAGTCTACCTCGGCCTTGCACTCGACAGAAAGCTGTTTTTCAGGGAACACATTGACAAACCAAAAACCAAATGCAACATCTTGATGAGATCTCCGTGTATCCGCTCATCAAAAGGGAATCCACTCTGTCCATGAAAATAGAAGCTTGCTGTCTATATGCAAATAATGCTTCACGTGATAGAAGACGGGGTCCCAGTCTGGGAGAGTAGCGTGGATTGCCATCACCTCAAACTACAAACGGTCCAAAACAAGATCCTGAGGATGATCCTTAACTGTCCTCCACGCACTTGAAACTCTGAGGTCCATCGCCTGGCTGTTCTTCACATGCTGGAGTTACGGAAAAGTGCTACCAGCGAATGGTTCAGATATTGCTGTAGGCTATCCGATCAGCTGATCATCAGGGATCTGGCACGTTAGGTTAAGCTTTAAATTAAGTAGGACGACTATCACATTTTTAAAACTCAAACTTAACAAACCCTCAGAAGTGTATTGTGTAGATTAGCGCTAAACGAAATGTAGAATAATCGATTAAACCGAACAAAGTTGAAGAGCCAAACATAATGAACGAACAAATAAATATAAATTTTACTATTATCACTATGTTTTATGATAGTTTTTCTGCGGATATGACGGAGGACACTATTGAAAGTCAACTTGAATGACTCTTTCCAATATCGAAATTCTCATCAAATAGAAGGATACCAGCAAAGATATTCAGATGGACGAACAAGGCACCTTAAATGCAGGAAAGTTCAATTGAGCGGCACATGAGATTCCATACTCCCAAACTTTTGTTCGGTTGCAAATTTATGGTGAATCTTTGCATTATACTTCTTAAAAACTCATTTGCTCTTAGGAAAAGCTTGATACAATAAAATGAATTGTTCAAACAATTCTGGATAAAATTCCCCAATTTTGAAATCATCAAATTTTTACTAAAAAAATAAATAGTGTTATTTCTAGAAAACATGAAATGCAATAATTGTACTCAAAACATGTTTATAACACGAAAATCAAGAACATTACTGGTATCATATATTGAAGTTATAATTTGGTATTGCAACCCTCAATTACCTGACCGATAATCCCTCCCCGAAACACTCACCTGCTTATCCTTGAGCGATTTGACGATCTCCTTTGGTACACTGGGACTCCACGAGTCGTGCTCGTCGATGGCTACGCCTAGGATCGGTTCCGCTCCGAGATCGTGAGGCCCGATTGGTGCCTCGTGTAGAAATTCATCCCGTATCAGCGGCGTATCGTCCGAGTAGCTGGAAAGAGAAAGGCGAGAATGGATCCAAAACAAACACACATTCACATGCTAACAGAAGTCGGTTCGATTTCGACGAAAATCCTGTCCTGTGGCTGCAGATTTCACACCTTGCTGAGGGTCAACTCTTCACCGACGTCACGGGAGGGGTTAGGTTAGTCTATTGGTTTTTGTTTAAAGGTGGGTTTTCTTTTTCATTTTAAAGGTGGTTTAGATTTCAAAGCAAAAATCCAACATTGAAAACGATACTCAAGAGAAGAAAAAATGTTCATGCTTTCGTACAACTGGATTCACTTATACTGGATAATATATAATCAAAGAGAGATAGAAATTGTAGCAAAACCAAAGCAAAGATGCAACTGATGAAACGGAACCGAAGAAGAATATGTCGAAAGACGGAATGTGGATTTGTTTGTAAACGATTTTGAAAGCAAACGAAAGTTGGGAAAAATGTAAGGTTAGGTCGTGGAAACCCCACAGAGAGCAGCAATTTTCGCGGGTGTTGTTCAACGGAAGGGGGCCTAGCATTTTGCGAGTATTCGAATTTCCTGCATTGTTTCAACGAGGGGTGATTCGGGTGATTGTTTTTTTTCTGGTTCTCTGTTCGTTAGCAAATCAACTGAAAAGTAAATAAATACTCACTTTGAGTTGTCATTTTGTATGTGGCCATCGTAATAGTCTCTAGCTTGATCATCGTGGTGCGAGGAACTGTGGCTATAGCAAGCGAAAAACGGAAACGAAAGAAAGAAAAAAAATATGAAAACGTATAAATAAAATCAAACATAAGGCAAAAAACAACGTTGTCAGCCGAGAGACAGAGACAGTGAGAGAGAGAGAGAGAGTGGTGTGGGAGGAAGTTCAAACTGCAGCATTAATAGTAAGTATAATAAACAATCGCAGAAACGGGGGAGGAGAGCATGTTTAGACGAGGGGTCCAACTCATAAAACTAGAACTGAATCACTCGGGAAACAACCGCAGGTGGCGAAACTCTGTGACGATTGTTTTTCGTGAGTAAAGTATAAGTAATGGAGGTGTTGTGTTGGTTGTAAATATATCTGTAAAATGTCATAAATTGCTGAATATCGTAGATGTTGATTATATTTTAGAAACGAAGACAAACGGAACTGCAAATAAACTGAAGAACAAAACAGCTTGAAAATGCGGTTTGTGTATTAAATGTGAAAAATCAAAACTATGTTACACTATAAAACAGCTCGGCAGTTATGATCTGTACAAATTTACAGCAGAATAGAAGAGAAAGAGTGAAAATTTTTCGGTGTAGCTTCAAAGAAAATTGAAAATTTAAGAATCAAAACTTTTGCAACGGATAAGAAGTGAGAATAAAGTGGTGAAATAACACAGACACACACACACACACGTGACTCGGCACAGTTCGGGGTATCTTCGGTGAGTGATAGCAGTTAACAATAGCAGTAGAAGTTACAGAGCACACAGTTCACAGCATCGGTGTGGAAAAAGTGTAGTAAGATAAAAAAAGTAAGAAGGTGCACTCTCGATGCGGTTGCAGTTCGAATGGGAGCTTCAACACGATGATGAGTCAAGAGCAAGAGAAGGTGAGGGAAAGATTCAGTCCATTTTAGCTGAGTTTCTACGTTTTGTAAGCCTCGTTTTGATTGGTGTTCATAAATGCTGACTTGGTGGTGGATCAACAGCACCGTAAATTTATCAATTGCTAGTACATCGACCATGTTTGGATTACCCTCTTTCAGGTGACATTTTCAAAAAATAAATCAAAATTATTACCGATTGCCTGCAAAAAAGAGTTTTCCTAACACAGTCGCCGAATATTGATAACGAGCACGTAATCCTACGTCAAATCTACGGTCGTGTATTGGATACAGCCTCTTACTTTTTTAAATAATAATAATGAATATTGTTTGTTCATGCTGAACTGTCAGAGGAATCAATTATGAGAGGCTTTCTTTTATTTTCCTGTTTATGAATATCTCAAATTTTTGAAGCCTCAAAATGCTCAAAACATTGATACTCCTTTGGACTAATGCTTCTATTTCCTCGCTGTTTTGGCTACTCAGAAACAACTGAAAGCTTATCCCAGAAATTCCCAGGGTATCGGGAATTTGCTTTTATTCAGTAAAAGAATAGGTCGAATAGATTTCTACCTCCTTATCCCGTAAGGTATTTTCCGATTTCTCCGGAAAGTTATTCCAGTTTCTTTTGGAACCTTCTTCTGGCTGCGCTCGTAAGGTTCTTGCGTTTTTTCCCGCCAGTTTTTTTTTTCAACATCCCCGGATCTTCAGGGATGTTATCAGGGTTTTATTGCGGTTTCATTAGCATCCTGAAAAGTACAGGAGCTTTTCAAAAGTACTGGAACAAAAGAATTGGTCAAACTTTTGAGTTAGTTCAAAGATCTGTAAGGGTGAGTTAAATTAAAGACAGTTTTTTTAACTTCTGATAAAAGCTTTAACGTCCGAGATGAGGTAAATTCCTTAGAAATCACTCATTTCATTCGCGAAATGGCACCTCAGACAATCACAGTTTCATTATGCGATCGAATACATATTTCTACAAACTCTTTCTTAGTTTGAGTCTTTGAAAATCATTTGCCATACCACCTAATTCGATATTGACCATCTTATATCATTTTAAATCACAGCCAGTTATGATTAATCTCCAGCGAACTTAAGGAAACATCATAAATATTTCGGAAACCTCACAAGTTCATAGAACTTCAGGGAAATTTAATGGTTTTCAGGAAGATTCCACTTGTTTCATGATAATTTAGAGAACTGTAGGGATGCTTCGAGAACATCAGGACCGATCTATTAATTTCAAGGAAATTTTCAAAACTTCAAAGGAATTCAGTGGAACTCAGAGAATATACGAAAACATTAGCAAAGTTCTGAGATTCAAGGTTTGGAAATGGATCTAACATGATCATCAGACAATTTTGAGAACATGAATTTTAACAAATTATAAAAATTAGGAATATCAAAGAACTTTCCATTAATTTCTAGAAAATTGTGAGAGTGGAGGCGAACCAGCCCAAGGCTGAAAGCCTCCCTAATAAAGATAAATAATAATAATAAAATTGTGAGAGTTCTTAAGAAGTTCCGAAATCTTCATGAAATTCCAGAGACCTCCTTCAAAGATGATTTTCCGGAATTTTCATTAAACATAATCAGAGAAGTTCCGAGTACTTCGACGATGATCAGATAACTTCAAAGCAGCCATATTTATTTCGGCAAAATGTTCAAGAACTTTCAAGGAGTTCCGAGGAATTATGAGATATTCCGAAGTGCATTTCAGGAATGTCCTAAAACTCTAGGGACATTGCGTGTCTTAAGGGATCTTTTATGGATATCAGGAAAATATTTGAATCATTAGAACATGAGTTTTGCCACGTCAAATTATGAATCGGAAAAAACTCACTCTTCTCCAATTTGCATAAATAAATTGTTATTGAAAATCATTTACATTTTTACAAAAACTCGGCCATTTTGGATATTGTATTTATTTTCAAAATGGCGTTTTTGAAATTTTTCAATAAACTGCAGCACAAAAACGTCACTTCTGATCGAAATGACGTCTGAGTCAAAGTGAGAAAAATTAAATCTTGCTTCTTGATATATACACGGTATTTTTATTTTAGTACTTTTGAGTAAAATTTAAACAATGTTTTGAAAGCTCAAATATCTCAAAAAAGTATCTTCAATTTTTTTTAAAGTTCATAAAATTTTTAACTGTAGGAATATTTGAAAACATGTACACTTGAAAATTGACAAAAATCTTTGAGCAAGAACTTTGCATTTGTCATTAGCTTTATATAAAAAAAATAGATTATAAATATTGCATGTACACCTTTTGAGTAATTTAAGTTTTTAACACTACCTTGAATTTTACTCAAAATTACTAAAAACTAATTACCGTGTATATTTTTCCCTTTACTTTGCTTTTCTTAAGTTGTCATTTCGATCATTAGTGACGTTTTAGCTCTACAATTTATTTTTATCAAAGACGCCATTTTGAAATATAACAATACCCAAAATGGCCGCCCTTTTGCAAAAATGTCAATGATTGCCCAGAACACATAATGATGCAAAGTTTCATGCACATCGGAGAAGGTCGAGTCTTACATTTTTATTTTTTATCCTATTTGGCCTGAAAGTGGTCACTTGTACGGAACTTCAGGGAATATTGTGCTAACACCCCCAGAATTCTCTTTCTTCCTGAATTGTTTCCCCAACTTCTCCTTGAAGTTTCTTTCGACTGTTCCATAAGTCATCTGACTTCCGACTTTCTTCAGAGGTTTTATCCTATCTACCTTAGGAAGTTACTTCCAGCGTCTCCAGAAAGTATCTTCTGCATTCTTCAGGATGTTCCATTAATATCCTACCGGATGTAGCTGTCGAATTATCACAGAGGCCATTTTCCCTTTTTTCCGACTTCTATTGGAAGATTTTTTAAAGTTTCTTCAAGCTTCCCCTGGACTTTGCTTCCGATTTCCGACATTATTCTGGCTTCCTTCGGATGTCGTCCGATTTTTACCGAAAGTTTCTTTAAAGGTTAAAGGTAAAGGCCAGAGGTTTATCACTATTTTCTTGGCAGTTCGCAGATGTTTTCCGACTTATTTTTCTTCAAAATTCTTCCAGAAGGGCTTCTTTATTCGCCCTCTGGAACTTTTTTTTGACTTCCTACAGAAGTGGATTCAAACATTCCCAGGACATTTCTTACCACTAAAGTAGTAAATTTTCCGTGTTTTTTTTCAAAAGATTAAATTTCGCTTTCAAAAACGACAAAAAAATAGTAAATATTGATTAATACTGATTTTTTAAAACATTTGATGCCGATAAACTTTAAATCAACCTGACAAGCGTGGTGCCCAGCCCACAGGCCCAGTCGCTCGATTATCGCATTCGATCTAAATTTATGAATTTACAAACCTGCAGCAATGCTACTTATTAATTCAATTATTTTCTACAGTGATTCAACAAATTCCGAGCTAAATCCAATCTTTTCAAAATTGGTTTAACACTGTTAGTAGACCAAATCAGAAAAGATTTAGGAAATTCATAATTGAGGTGACACTTTTCAAAGCAGATTCAAAACTGAGTCGAATAAGTCATCAACATTTTTCTAATCGAGTCTAAACTTTTGTGTTTTGTTATTCAATCCTTTTTGCAGTTGTCAAAGCTTTCGTGAAGTGATCCAACATATCCCGAACCCAAGCTTTAAAGAATTGGATTCGCATTTTCTGGAGTGAGGCGAATGTGCTGATTTAAACCCTTTTCTAAATGAATCCAAGGTTTCCTGCTTTGATTCAACTTTTTCCGAACTGAATCCAAACTTGCCAGAACGGGTTTGACATTTTCCAAAGTGAGTCCCAGATTTTGGTTAAATGTTTTGGCATTTGTCAAGGACACAATCTTGTTTGGCTTTCCTAAATGTGTAGAGAGTTTTTCGAAGTGAACCGACACTTTTTTTAGCATAAATTTTCTAAACTAAGTCCAACCTTTTCTGAAGTGGTTCAATACCTTCATTAGGGAGGCCAAACTTTTCTGTTGAGTGATTGAATTATATTTGTTAGTCTGAGCTTCCTGAAGTGATTTAATCAACCTTTAACGTAGATTTCGCTCCCCATAGACGGCTTCCTCGTTCTTCCTCGATTCACATCCTTTGAAAATTAGGCTGAGATTTTAAAGAATGAACCTACGTGTGTTCATACCTGATGTTA